TAATAATAATAATTATAATAATAATAATAATAATAATGATAATGATAATGATAATGATAATAATGATAATAATAATAATAATAATAATAATAATAATAATATGATACATTGTAATAATAATAAATATTTCGATGAATTAAAAAGGATCCGAAGATTATATTAAAACATGTAAACTGGTGATAATTTACATATTTCAGAAGTTCTTTTTATTTCCTCAAAATGAACCATTATTGATATCAGATAAATGGTCCTGATCACACTGTGACTCGAACCCATTATCTTTGTTTGAGGAGCCGAATACTACCCATTATATCCTTGCTATATATATATTCTCTTGCTATATTTTCTCTTACAATAATTGAATAGAAGAATGTGTAAAATACTAGTATTGGTTTATAAATATCTGAATTATTGTGAATATTATTATGAGTAATTAATAAGCGAGAATAATAATGGTCATGTTATGATCTAAAATTATTTTACACCGCATCATCTAGATATTGGCGTAAAAATATAGAAAATAGAAGATATTGTATGAGTGAAGATTTTATACTGCTTTTATTGAACGGGTTGAATAAAAAAAATAAGATGCTACCCTCTGGCTGTAGGTAACTCGGATTTTTAAGTTATATGTCACCATTTTCTTTTGATCTTTCAAAACATGTTCCGGTTGAAGGTTTGACTCTATCGGAAATGAAGTTATTTTCCAGAATCTCTCATATTTTTCTGGTAACACTTTTTCCCCATTAATAACGATATTTTTACGTTTCGTTATTTATCGAGTAGAAAAAGGTTTTTTTTTTCCGTTTTAAATCAGATAATCTTTTTTCGAAATTATTTCATGAGAACACTTCACTTTAACTTCATTCAAGGCTTGCATAGAACTCTCTTGTTTGCATTGCTTTTTTTTGGTTAAAAAATAGGGCTATAACGGCTGCTTATTGGATAATACAAAACTTCTCTGCACAGATTGCCACAAAATACATGTATATGGCGCTGACCACCGTACTGTGTAAGGGCCAATGTCTTCAAACTATATGAAGTCAGTGGGAGGTAGTAAGTAACTGGTGCACGCACAAGTTTATGTCGCCTTGTAGACCGTTAACATTTTTCTGCGGTTGTTGACGATGGTCCATTCATATTGTTATTTTACGTGCAGAATGTGACATTTTGACTTTGTTTTCAGTGCCGTTTCTGGCAAAATATTGGGACGGCTGTCGACGCCCTTGTCGCCCCTGTTACGACGCCACTGATACGACGCGCACTGCATTAAAATCAAATCAAGATGGTGAATATCAAAATCGTAATTGAATGATATGAAGCAATTAACATAATGTAATTATTATTATATATCAAACATCAAATATGACTTTCTGAAAGATATCGTTTGTGGTACAAAACAACAAAGAGTCCTTTCCTTGTTTTTGGTTATTACAATGATGTATGTTTGAAAAACAATTGCTAGAATAATATTATTATAATTTATTGACACGTGTACAGGCGTTAATTTGATCCTAATAATTGTCCTATATTTTTGTAGAGCATATTGTTTAGTCATTCCATTGAGACTGGTTAAAAACTATTCCATTTTTTGAAGTGGTCACATGACAGTCGTACATCCAGACGAACTATATCCAAAATGGCGCCAATGAACAGAATCAATGACTCTTATTTATCTTGTTAACAATTTATTATCTTTTTAGCTTGGTGTGAAATAGCTGTAATTGATTTCAAGTGATTTACAAAATATACAAGCATATCGATAACAAAATAGTTTCCCAGTGAGGAGAACCTTGTAACGCATTTTTCACGCAATCCTCGTCTCTTGCCTTTTTCGAGTGGCAAATTTACAAAATTTGATCAGGGAATGTTCAACTCAATTCTTAAACGATACAAACCCGTATGTCAACGCGCGACTGTTTATGACAAGGGATACACATTTATTTGCCAAAAGACACAACAATGTTTTTGTTCCAGCACGCACTAACTTTTATGAAGATGTATTCCTACGCGGAGATTAGGCGAGTTAATGGAAAAGCCCCGAGTTGAGTGGATCTTTTTTACAAACTTTAGAAAAGTTTAAAATAACAATCAAATTTCAACTTACAAACAGGATTAGCAGACAAATAAACAAATCTAGTGTCGTGTGTATTCAGGATTTTCTCTCATATCAAAGTCTGATATCGATAAGCCATGTATAATTCGCAAGTTTTGCCTTTTACATTTTTTGATTGATCGTTTAGATACTAATTCCACGGGGCTATTGAAACGTGTTTCTGTGAGAAAACTGTTCGAGAAGTGGTCATTCATTATTGAAAAGTAGAAAAATAAGATAAAGTGATGTATTTATTTATAGTTTTATCGCTCGAAATTGTCGTCTGCTGCGATCCTCCTTTTTTCCCTTCATTTTTTTTTGTCCTGGTAAAAAACTGCTGTATCACCGGTTCGCAAAAAATAGCGAGGTAATAAAAAAAGGTCAAGGCCGCGAAATTTAAATCAGTGAATAGCTTTAAAACTAGGTAAGTAAAATTAATAAGCGAAAAATCGAGTGACTCATTGTTTTATAACAGAGATCCTTGTTTTTATAATACGTTAAAAATCCTGCTATATTGATTAGTAATGCAATTGATAATGAATTTGTTCGTTTGTAGCAAAACTGTTCCAAGCGGAATCTATTTTAAATATATATGTAGACCTAAGTCTTTAATTACATTTAAAAGCACATAAGAAAGAGATAATAATGGACGCCGGCATGAGAAAAAGGACCCTTAACATCACAAACTTTTTTTTACTTGACATATTGAATTCTTAAAGAAATTCAATGCTATAGCTCTTGAAATAGATAAAAAAATCTTTTGAAATTTTCTTATTGTTACTTATTCGCAGTTATTTTCAACATTTCGAGGGTAGTTCACTTCTTTATTTTTAACGTCAATGACTACGTTAACGTCTTTTGACGTCATTTGTAAAATGATGTTAAGTATCCTTTTCTTATGCCGGCGGTCTTTATGTTTTTGTGTCATACTCACTCGAAATAATATATCTATGAAAGACTGTTTTTTCTTAATCACTATTTTACATAATTATACATTTGTTACAAATTAAACTTATTTAGTATTACTCTAATATTTCCAGCTTTACTACAAAATTCCTTTTATATTGGTTCCAGTATCATAGATATCATTAAAACGAAAAGTTATGCGAAGATATTGAGAAATACACGAAAGGTTATCTTTTTCGTGAAATAAATTCAAATTTACATGCACGTGTAATGTCTTATTTTACTTAAACATAGTGCTAGAGACTACATGGATTTTTATTGGTTTAGAATAATATTTATTTCTTCTTCCATATTTTCAAACAAAATTTAAATCCAAGTTTGAATAGAAAGCTTAAAGATTAGTAAAACCCACTCCTGGACTTTTATTGTATCACAGTCTTTTAGATGATTTTTTTTAAGAATGCAAAGAGGTTTATTGTAAAATTTTATTTAGATTGTTTGGTTTGTAATCTTTAAATTTTCTTGGGTTGGTTCCATATTTCGTAATACATAGTCCAATTCTTAAAGTTTCACAGAATAATCGTTATTCTTATAATTATTATGACCATTTGTACTTTTTTATTTACTTTTTTTTTCATGTGACGATAGTAATTGTTGTCTTAATAATTGTATGTAACGAGATACTGTATATACATAAAATAAACTATTTTCTTCGTTTCCCGACTATTTTCTTATTATTTTATCCATATTTATGGAGTCACCTTACATGTTTAAACGGTTGCTAAAGACTTCGGCTGTTGGCCTTAAAAACATTCTTAAAACACCCCGTTATAAAGGAGTGTTTAATTTGTAGTAAAGTCGTCCGCATCTCAACCGAAGCGTCGTCATTGCGAACCCTGCTCGAATAACTTTTTTTCCATACAACACCTGAATAAATAAATCAAGAAAAGCGTACTGGAATGGGTTTTTTTGCACTGAAATGATTTGCAAATTCTAGGGGATTTGTTTAAAGTCAAATCAAACAGAAGAAATTCATACCAAATACTCCGTCGTCGGATAAGATTTGTTTATATCTGTACCCGTGTTCTTTGGATTTTACAAGAACATTACTGATGTATCAAGAACAATTCCAAGAATCTCTTCAAATACATCGTACATTTTATCAAAGCAATATCACCAGTTCCTGCTTCTATTTTTTGTCCTGTTACAGTGCATTGTTATTTTAGAATTGTAGGACATAAACGTACAAGACAAGAAAGGCTTTCCCCTCCTTGCTAATCCATATTCATGTACACAGACATTCTAGCATTCTATTTTTAAAAGTGAAGCAAACTTAAAGGGACTTATATTATTACTTCTTTTTTTTTTACTTGCCGGAACTAAAAAATAATGTTTTCGAGGTTTTTTTATTCGATGTTAGTCTATGAAAATGATTTGTTAGCAAAAGTTCAGATCATTCGTGCACTCCATTTTACCATGATTATCATTTTTTATTATGCAAAATTGTCTAAAAGTAAAAGCGTTTAAATACTTTTCACTCAAATCTGGTTAAGTATCGCACTCAATATCAGTTTTCAATTTAATCCTGAGTGCATTTCTTTTTTCATGTGCCTACAGTTGATCAATGGAGAAAAATATCAAAATTTAAGTTTTTAGGCTTTTTAGACCTTTAACATTAATGATAGTAATATTTCAGTGGAGGAGGAAAGTATGAACATATATTTTTCAAGCCCTGTAGATTAGTTGTGTAACTCTGTTTCTTTTATCTATGGTGGCTGAATTATGTTATGTCGTTTTTTGGTCACGTTGTCGTATTTTTGTGTTTTCGCCTAGTCACCACCGAAGCAAAAATACGACATGGCGCAAATCAGCCACTATACTTATCACAATGATGGACTAGTGACCTGAACAACCAAGCTTTATAATTTTCAGGAAATGATGCAAAGAAAACAAGCATACTATATTCATTTTAAAGTTATTTATTATTTGTTAATATGCATACACAGGCGACAATAATATTAACACAGGGTCTACCTATGCATGTGTATTTAAATAACATAAATTCCTCTAATGAATATTTTTGGAAGACACACTTTTATATACATATGTATAAATATGCACCTTACTTTATTAAAATAACAATAAAAGCAAATCAGGACTGAGGTAGCTTTATGGCATGTTTTTTAAACAATTCGGACACGATTTAACATTTTCATAGAGAAAAAATTAATAATAAAACCTAACATGAAATCATCTTAACATTTCAGCAATTGACCATATTTTCGGCTTGTTTTGAATTTTGTCTGCGGTTAAAGTCGTTGTTTTCGTTGTACAATTACTAGCAGTAGTTTGAAATTCTTCTACACTTTCTTTGTTGGTATTCGTAAGTTCTTTTACAGGTTTTTCGTTTTCAATCATATTATTAACAGTTACAGACTCATTTTTACTAAAATACGATGGACTTGTTGTTTCCGGTGATGAATTTCTGTCAAGACATTGGTCTACTCTTCCATCTGGAGAAAACAAACGCTGTGTGCACGTTTTCCTGGAAATGTGGTCACGTGGTGACTGTTCCTCGCCGTCTGAGATATCAGAATGTTCCGAATGAGATTTTGAAATATTCAAGTAATTTGTCGCGCTCTCAGAATCAGAGTCGGTAAGAATACTGGAAGAACTCATATTGCGGAGGCTTGAATCTGAAATTAAACGTACAAATTTGTTAAAATCTGATAATAACATTCATAGACTAATTTCTACGGAAAACAAAATTGGGGATGTTGTTATTGCTTTTTTTAAAGAATGACTTAAGTTGATTTCTCTGTTGTAGATCATTATTATTCCATCTTTCCTCGTATAAAAATAACACTGAAGAAACGTTTAAGAAACTAGTACACTATCAAGTTTCAGTTTAACATATATGTTGTATTTAATATTTTTTGTTCCTTTTAAGTGACTATGTTGGAAAAATAAATGTGTTTCACTCACCATCAACATCAATGTCTGAAAGATCAATATCCTTGTCATCAATCTTCGATTCCTTCTTCAGCCGTCTTCTGGCATTGGCAAACCACGTGGAAACTTGGGTCAAGGTCATTTGAGAAATGATTGCCAACATGACCTTTTCACCTTTTGTAGGATATGGGTTCTTGCGATGTTGATACAGCCAGGCTTTCAAGGGGCCAGTGGATTCCCTGTTGGTATTCTTTCTACGTGCTCCATTAATATCGAAGCCAGGGTACCTGAAAATGGCAATAAATTATTAACAGATACGAAACTTAAATAGTTCTGAGTAAATCAAATACCCTTTCTGTGATTTTGTGAAAAACATGGAAACAAAAGTTTCGATAATAAACGGATCTTACAGCTTATGTTTCTTTTCGACTTTTTTTATTGTTTTGAATCATTGGCCCTTAGCTTTCTACTACCAAAGCGACCAGTGCACTGAACAGTTAGCTATTCAGTCAGTACCGTACATAGCACATACATTTATTTTGATTTTTTTTTCTAAATATAACGAATCGTTTCGTCCAGATCTAGATTGAAAGATGCATAAGCCTATTTAAGCTATTTAGCATGGTACAATGTTATACTCAATATAGAGAAAAACAGCCCAGTTTTTTTCAAAATAAATGATTTTTTACAACGAACTTAACCCAACGACATGTATTCAAATTAACATTTTCTAATGTTTAGAAGTTGATACATGTCGATATTGATATCATTTCTGCAAACGGAATATATACCAAAGAAAAGAATTTTTGAAAAAAGTCAAAATGCATATATTTTATGAAAGGAAAATTCAAAAGAGAATATAATATGCTTACATGGCGCCATACGGATGAGAAGACATAACTTGTTCCATGTAGTATGACGGAACGGTTGGTGATGCCATAGAAACCCTGTGCATCTGATTTTCTGTTGGATACTGCAATGAAATGGAACACAAATATAACAACAGGAACAACAACAATAATTGACAAGTAATATTTGTTATATAGTTTTACAACCGTTTTTATATTCGGTTTGCTTGGCATCATAAGCACGTGTAACGAGCATAGCATAAGCATTCAAATTGATATCAGTTGTGACAATTATTATTATTCAGAAAACGTTTATTTCTAGTTTTATTGGTATAATTTCCAACATTTAAGTCACAAATATGAATAAATACACGTGCACAAACAAAATACATTATTACAGCCTATTGTCAATAATGGCTATATTAAGGAACCTAAAAGCGCATGTACTCACTGTAGGAAAGAACGCTGATCCGCTGCGATCACCGACAATACTTCCGGTAGAGAGTTTAGGAGACGCTTGACTGTACACGGTCTCTGGAAGACTTGGAACACGTGAAAGATACGCTGGCACACCTGATTGCAGTTGGCACGAGCATATTGTTCTTCCGGTCAATGGATCCGCTAATACCGGGTGTCCGGTATTACAGCATCGGGTAGTCTGGGACGAGGTGAAGAAATTTGGAGAAATTGGCTTCATTTCCTAGAAAGCAGACGAGATCGATTATTTATTTGTTATCGTTTTAATCAAATAGGCAAATTAAAAGATTCTCTATATAAAATGCTACATTCCATGAGACGCTAGTTGCTGTTTCCCAGCAAATTTATGGTAGAAAAGACCGATAATTTCCTTTCGGAGGTCAACATCAACCAATGCAACCGTATTTATACAAGCCTTTCTTTTCTTTAATAAAGCAACTCAAAAAGCGACAAGTTAGTAATTCACTGTAAAATAAACAATAAACTTGTTTTGAATATGCACTAAAAATAGTCTAAAATGAAGCTTACTTTGATAGTTATATCCCTTCTAATAATCCAATTGAATTCACTTGAGGAATATAAAAAATTATTTATCCAAGTAGTTCATATGAATACGTATTTAACTTTGTATCGTCTATCAGTTTAATGTCAGTTTATATATTCCGTCCATTTGCGGTGATATTTAAGTCAATTTCATTATCCCTGAAATCTGATTGGATGTCGCCTTATCAAAACGCATCCACCCGATCTCTGACTTTATCACCGGTAAATCACCGCGAAGTACTAGCCCCGCCCCCGGCGCAATCAGGTAAGGAACATGTTCTCTAATATCAGATAAGGAATCTAACGTTCTTAACAAAAACAAATGAAACAAACACACCCGTATATTTATAATAATGAAATAATGACTTCTCCCCGTGGCGTTCAGCAAACAAATACGGACACGGGGAGCAGTAATTTATTTTGAAAACTTAAATTGCATTTATCGATGTAAAGTTAATGGCTTAAGGGTGGTTGTTGTGTTTTGATTTGAATCTTAAAAAACAGATATCACAGAAAATGAAAACAACAAATGATATTATTTTCAATTTTGACAGATAATTATTAACCGCTAATAAGTTTAATATTTCCATTGTTTTCGATTAGAATAATAAAAGTCATGACACGTGCTCATAAATATGCTATAATTAATGAACATAATACTGTCACACTTATACGATGCTAATTAGGCAAGTTCCTGTATTTATATTTTGTCAAATTCATGAAATATATAATAAAATTTAATATTTGATATATTTCGAATTTAAGGAGTAATTTTTCTTGGATTTTATTATATTTGGTTCATTTATATTTGATATATTTACATTTTTAGAGGCATTTTTTCTTGGTTTTCATACTATCTTGTTTATATTCTTTTTTTAAGTTCTGGAAATTTAATATTTCTTTAATTGTTTATTACTACTATTGGTGTGCAGACCTTAAGAAGAGGTTGCAAATTGCGATGTTTTTAAAAGTCTTAGTGCATATATCATTTTAAATTGAAATTTGATAAATAAATAGTTGCTTCATATTTTTATGTTTGGCTTCATTTACTTTTTTCAATTTACGCTGTCTTTGGTCATTTCCTTCGTTTATATCTATTTTTTTTCATTCATTTGTTCATTTATTTATTTCTTATTCATTTTCAATTAAATTTCATTTGATTATTATTCACATACATTTATTTAATACAATTTCATGTTTTTCTTTTATTTCAAATTTATGATAATTTGTTTATTTTTTACGGACTAATTTTATCATTCTTGTGAACTGTCTTTTCAAAACTTCCGACGTTATATTTGCAGATTTCATGTGACGATAGGTGAATTGATATAAGTATATATTTAGTACATGATATAGTATATGTGGGTGTTGTTTTTCTTAGCTGAAAGTACGTATTTTCTTTTGTTAAAACAGCGTAAATTTTTACAAGTAGAGACGTGGGTTTCAAATTTCGAAGATGAAAAATATCCCGTGGTTTCAGATAGAATATCACTTTTATCTGTTAAAATATTGTTTTCGATTTTTATCGTATGATCTGAAAATTGTCATCTTTAATCAAACTCAGGTACTATAATATATCCCTTGCTGTTTATTTATGAAGTGGTCAGAAGGGATGACACTCTAAATACGATCTCTGCTCAATGATATATAGGTCGCTAAACACTGCGAGAAATCGGATATTTTAATTTTTATTTTTTCGTTCAAAACAAATCGCTAAACGAATAATAACCTTTGCTGATAAACAGGTGTTATTCTTGTCATACAAACTGATCGAAACATTTTTTGTAGCCTTAGTTATAGGGTATCCATTCTCAAAAATATCCCATATATCCCTCATACTCGCCAGAAAAACAAATTCAAATAATGCACGTGAAAGTTTGTTTTCTATAAGAAGGAATCATAACTACAACACAATTTCTATTCTAAATACATTTCGATATCAATAAATTAATATACCCTGTCGAGAGCGACCGTGCAATGACCCGCCGTAAGCGGCTGTGCAATGTTCAGTCGTGAGCGGCCGTGCAACGTCTCGTCTTGAGTGACCGTGCAATGTCCTTTCGTGATCTGCCGTGCAATTTCAATGCATAGTAAACAAAAATATATATACCACTCTCTGTATATACTATAAATGGAACTGTTATTAGGTTGCCTATTTCTGCTTTGCATGTTTGTTGAAAATGTTTTTTGTTCTCATCTTTTCAACATTGTGGTTACTTACACGTTAAAGAAAACAAAAAAGCGGCATTTCTCAAAACCTTGACGTTTTCAAATACCAAATCATGGTAAAGGTCATGTTAATTCTTTCTTTGCAGTGGTATTTTCTCAAGAAAAAAGTGAATACTCGCCCGCGAACAATCATACCGCAATTGCATGGTTTGTGCGGTATCGAAGAACACATATAAGGGTAACCTCAGCGATTTTCACACGGTTATATGGAGATGATGTTAGATTAAACCGAGTCTTCTCTTGGACACCTCAAAACCATCATCATTTTCTAGCACAATTAATCATTCAAAATGATGAACATATGTTTTGGTCAAAATTACTACTGCTTCTACTATTATCGCGTATAATTTCGCAGCGTGAATTGTGATAATAATACGTTTAACTTGCAATTTGCTACAAAAATTGTAGGGTATTCGGATATTCACCGTATCGGACGGGCGGTTAATTACACAGTGGCTTATTAGCACAAGAATCGCGTTGGGTATCTTTAAAGACGAGCGTATTGTGTGAAAGTATCACACGTAATGTTTAAATTTGTTGCAAATACTCTAAGAATTAGAGCAGTGGTAATTTGATGGTTATTTGTATTTGTGTAATGAAGTTTAAAGAATAAATGAGGCCATCTTGCGGGTGGCAATAATAAAACTGTCATTTTCCTACCGTTATGAATACGACTCTAGATTTATTTTTTTAATTTCTGACATTAACTTGATATACGTGTTTTGTTTAAGCAAATAATGATAATTGATATGACCCATAAATTAAATGAGCCGTGTCACGACAAAACCAACATAGTGGGTTTGCGACCAGCATGGATCCAGACCAGCCTGCGCATCCGCGCAGTCTGATCAGGATCCATGCTGTTCGCTTACCAACTCTATTACAAGTAGAGAAACTGAAAGCGAACAGCATGGATCCTGATCAGACTGCGCGGATGCGCAGGCTGGTCTGGATCCATGCTGGTCGCAAACGCACTATGTTGGTTTTGTCGTGACGCGGCTCAAATATTTATCAAAATTTTGACAGAACGTTAAAGAAATCGTTTGTTTAAAATAATAAATATATTATTTTCGAAGATGTCACCATGTCGACCTTTGTTTACTATCCTTGGACTTAAAATGTAACTTTCTGTCCCAGAACTATCATAAAATATATGACAATGACAATGACAATAGATTTTATTAAGCATTACACATTGTACAAATGTTTATAGCAAGAAATGATGAACAAATCAAATACACATCCCATATATTGTCATAAAATATATTCATAACATATACTGCCCACACATATAATTATCTTATTGTTATTGTATGTTAAAGTACTGAAAAATACATGTATATGTTAAAGAGAAGAAAAACAAAAACAAATGATAAAAATGCATGCAAATGTTCAAAAGAATATATGAATAAATGCTTTAAATATTGATGAAACAATTGACATGCTGGGGAAAAATGTGTGCTAAAATGCTGTCAAAATAAAAAATATGGTAAGGTGCATTTTGTTTAGTTACTATTCTTTATTTTTACACCGGATTTTATTACTGTTGTATATGTATAAAAAATATATACATATGAACTTATATTCAAAACAATTTTATTTTGAAATGAAATATATACTCGTATATATTCAAAAAAAAGTCTTCTCTTTACTTTATGCTATTTGGCGAATAACTAAGATTTACACAGAGACTTTTATATTTCATTGATAAAATTTTTACATGCATTTGGGGATGTGTTCATTTAATGCCATCCTCACTTGTTGATATTGTTTGTCATATTTTTTTCTTACAGACAAGCATCAAGTGATATATTCCTATTAGTTTGTTTCAGTCTATTTTAAATATGAGACGTGTCACGACAAAACCAACATAATGGGTTTACGACCAGCATGGATCCAGACCAGCCTGCGCATCCGCGCAGTCTGATCAGGATCCATGCTGTTTGCTATCAGTTTCTCTACTTGTTATAGGGTTTGTAAGCGAACAGCATGGTTCCTGATCAGACTGCGCGGATGCGCAGGCTGGTCTGGATCCATGCTGGTCGCAAACGCATTATGTTGATTTTGTCGTGACACGGCTCATATAATTTAAATTGCTGAAATACTTAATTATGATAATTAAATGTTTTACTTGTCAAATTTTATCTCCTGGTGATAATGAAGGTTATGATAACGTCGATGGTGGTGATGATCTTGATAATGATAATGATGATGTTGTTTTGTTGTTGATAATGCTGCTGCTGATGGTGATAACGCTGCTGTTGCTGTTATTGTTGTTGTTGTTGATAACGATGTTAATGATAATGTTGTGATAATGTTTTTTTGTTGTTTTTGTTTTTTTTGTTGTTGTTGTTGATGGTGATGATGATGACGAAGATGATGGTGATGATGATTTAAATGATGATAATGGTGATATTAATGATGATCATGATGATAATCATGATAAAAATGATAATTATGATGATGATGATGATGATAATGATGATATTAATGATAATGATGATGATGATAATTTATTATGATGATGATGATGATGCTGTTGATGAGGATGATAATGAAGCTAGTGGCAATGATGGTGTTTTTGATGGTGATGATTATCATCATCGATGATAATCTTGAATGTAACGATGATTTCATCTCTAGACATGTTTCGTTCAACATCTTTATTACTATGAACTATGTTCGAGTTGTTATTGAACTGAATTAACTACTTAGTCTTTCACTTCAAGAAATTATTTCCTATATTCGTAAATTTGAATAATATCAAGAGTTTCATTCATAAGAAACATAATTAGAATTGATATATTTATTTTCATACTTTATTTAAATCAAAATTCTAAGCATATATTATACGATGGGTATGAAAGATTATTAAAGAAGTTACTAAACATTTCATTCAAAATTACGCCCGATTAATTTCACACCTACTCGATTAGGCGTAGGAACAAGAACCGTGACAGAAGAATGGCGCCAGATGCATGCCGGGTACAAATCAAGCGTGCTCAGCGCCATTTTGGCAACATTTCATATTGAACACGA